CCCCCCCGCGCGTCCCGATATTTCGCCTCTCTGATCTGGTCACCCTACTTCTGCCTCCGAGCCCAATACTCGATTTACAAGAACCTTTCAGCAGAGGCATCTGCTCTGGTTTTGGTATAGACAAAACCACAACAAATCTGGAGTTTCTGGGCCCAGCCATTTTGGAGGAATTGTGAGCCAAAGAAGAATTTTTTTTTCAAAAGCAACCTTCTAGTAAACTCTCAAAATATTACTGCACGGGCTCAAAGGAGAACAAGTTGCCGTGTTTCTTATTCCTAGGGGGACCAGACGTCCCGTGTTTAAAGGGACAGTCCCATATTTAAGCCCTCCTGCAGGTGTCCCGACTTTTTCTTAAAAATGGGCAAATTGTCCCATAATTTCTGTCTCATTCCCAACAGTACAGGCAGGTCCTGCTGCTGGCCGGATCCCTGCTCGCCAACTGCCCATCCACCAGCAGTGAGTGTGTGTGTGGGGGGGTCCAGTGGCCGACAATGAGGGTGGGTGTGCAAGGCCGGTGGTGGGGCGAAGATGCAGTGCGTGGGGCACTCAGCTCCCCCTGCTGGTCCATCAGCACAGCCCCTGATGTGTGCTGGCTCTCGGCCAGCAGGGCCCTGTGTGCACCATCTTCCCACCCCCCCACCCCACCCCCGCATCCTGTTAAGCTGCAGTGGTTGGTGAGTGCGGTGATCAGTTATGTGTCACCTCTGCTGCCCACCCATCTGCCCTTTACATGCTCCCCCTCTCCCTGCTTTGCTCTTTCACCCTCCCCTAGCCCTGCTGCTCCTCCCTATCCCCCCCGCCCCCGGCAGGGCCCGTCCCTCTCCCAGCGCTGTGCAGAGAACGAGCCCCTGGTCGGGGCGCTCAGCTCACAAGCAGCCTGGCTGGCAGGTTCCTTCCCTCCCCCACTGCCTCTGGCTGGGCCCACGGCCCGGGAAAGCCCAGGACCCTCCGGCCCGGGGCGCTGGCCAGGAGCCGAGCCCTGCATGTGCCAAAGCCCCACACAGCGCTGGCACAGGGAAGCCTCTACCCCCTCAGCTCAGCTCAGCTCGGGGAGGGGGGGGTGAGCGATTTCAAGCCTGGTCATGCCCCGGCTCTGCAGGGTCCACAGCAGCCTCACCGGGCAGGGGCATAGCACCCCCTTCACCTGCCCCCCCCCCCGGTCCTGCCCCCAGGGAGTACAGGACTGCTCCGTCCCCTCGGCACCCTCCCCTGCTGAGCCACCTCTCTGGCCAGGTTCACTGAAGCCCCTGCAGTCAGGTTCCCTGGGCCCTGCTGCACAATGCATCCTTAGGGCTTAACCTCTTCCTGCTCGCGCTGTAGCCAGAGGTGACTGGTTGTGTCAGTGGCCAGCTGCAGCCTGGAGGTGTTAGCTGCCTTTTGACACTGTGCAGACAGGAAGAGAGAAGCTGCTTCTAGCCATATGGGGGCGGAGCAAGAGAAGAGATGAGCTCTGCAAAGATACAGGCCATGTCATCCTGCCCTCCCCATCCCCTGCAGCTGGAAGCTGGTCCAGTCCCTTCCCTCCCACCCACTGCTGAAAGCCTGCTGCTGGCCACATTCTGGTGTGAAGCCTGGCAGAAATATGGGGGATGCAGGGTCACATGATCTCCCTGCCCAGGGAAGATGCGGCACCAGGAGACACGGTAGGGTGACCAGACAGCAAGTGTGAAAAGTCGGGACAGGGGGTGGGGGGTAATAGGCTTCTATATAAGAAAAAGCCTCAAATATCAGGACTGTCCCTATAAAATCGGGACATCTGGTCAGCCTAAGACACGGGTCTGTCCTGTGGGCCCAGCCAGGCATGGAGGAAGGGGTTGGTCTTCTCCACCCTTCCCCGCCTCCCCGTATGAGAGAGTTGTATGGGCCTGTGTGTATGTCCCCTCTCCCTGTGTGTGTGTTTGTGTGTGGGGGGGTAGATTTGTGTGTCACTCCTCTCCCATGTGAACCTTAAAGATAAGAAGGTCAATAAAAAAATCCAACTCTGCAGGAGTTCTTTTTAACAGGGGCTCAGGCAACTTGATGTAAATTTAAATATTTGCACTGCACCGATCTGATTAGTTGCCCTTGAACTTGCTTAAATATGAGTAATTTTACCAGGTGTCCAGTATTGAGCATGGGAAATGTGGTCACCCTACTTATTCCCCACACTGGATGCTAAGGATTTTCACCAAATATTGAATCTTGCAGGTCTCCCTCAGTGCCCGCATTGGCATCGGCTCGCTCTGGGAGTTGGGTGGGCTGGGAACGTCATCCTGGCGGGAGCTGTGATTGTGCTGGGTGTCTGGGGTGAGTAGCTCCAGGCCTTACATTACATTACATTACTATATTGACTCCCACGGCCCCCATTTTACTGGGTTCTATACAGGTATCCAGTAAGGCAATCCCTTAGCTAGGCTGAACAGACAGCAAGTGTGAAAAATCAGGACGGGGATGGGGGGGGGGCGGGGGTAATGGGTGTTTATATAAGACAGCCCCAAATATCAGGACTGTCCCTATAAAATCGAGACATCTGCTCACCCTACCCTTAACCAAGGAGCTCACCATCTAAATGAGCACCTTGAATTTGCCTGTTACTTTACAATCTGACTGAGATCTCATTTCTGATTCCCATCTATTTGTGAATGAAACACTTGACACATTGGCACCATGCAAGCCAAAACTTGACATTAACTAGATGAGAGGTCCTCACTCTTTTTCTTGCTGAGGCCCCCCGAACATGCTATACGAACCCAACGGCCCACCTGTGCCAATTAACTAGTTTTCCGCATATAAAAGCCAGGGCCAGTGTTAGTGAATAGCAAGGAGGGCCACTGCCTGCGGCCCCATGCCAAAGGGAGCCCCCTGAAAAGCTTAGGCTTCAACTTCAGCCCTGGATGGTGGGGCTGAGGGACCTGGGCTTCAGCTCCATGCAGTGGGGTTTCAGCTTTCTGCCTGGACCCCAGTGAGTCTAATGCTGACCCTGCTTGGAGGCCCTCCTGAAACTTGGTTGAGGCCCCCTAGGGGGCCCTGGACCCCTGGTTGAGAACTACTGAACTAGATGTACCTAAGAACTTGGCATATACAATCTGTGTGATTAGACTAAAACAGCTTCGTCATTAAACATGCAGGGAACAGTGGAATGAATATACATTACAAAGTGTAATGAAGGAGATTCTCTCTGTTCCTCTTAATGGATTTTATTATACCCTCTATCTTTTCTTTTCCCTAATCCCAAAGTAGTAACCAAAGGATCCCGCCTGGAGGATTTCCGATCTCAACTGAAACAAACACTTTGTGTTTCATCACTCAGCAACTCCACAGGTAACCCCATTCTCATTGAGTTCCTTTCCTCTTGTTATCATTTCCACTTGGTACTGAGCAGAAGCAGTGACATCTAGTGGCCAGATGGCTGTATTGCATTTGCTGGAATTACCCTAACTTAAAGGACAACAAATATGTCTCACCGCAACTGCCTGTGGGGTGAAACTTAGTATTTGTTTAGTAGCGCACAGCAACAGAACACAATAGCTAAGAAGTGAAGAAAACTCCTGGTATCACAGCCTCCCTAGGCAACTACAATAATAGCTTATTAGGAAAGTATTTCAGGTATTTTAAAATATTTTAACAAAATTTAGCAGCTGGAAGTGGAGGAGGAGCCAGAATCACACGCTCAGGGAGTTCTCCACAGAACACCAAGTATTTAACACAAAGCACCTGCTTTTGAAAGATCTTAAGGCTTAAGGTACTCTGACAATGGACTGAGCCTCACAACCCCCTGTAAATTAGGGAAGAGTGACACGCACACACGCACGTGCAGTGAGTAATTCACTAAACGTCATGCAGTGGGCCAGCGTTAGAGACGGGATAACAATTCAGGTTTCTAGGCTCCCAGGACACTGCTCTAGCATCAAACAACTCTGCCTCTCTTTTTTTCTGATTTTTGACGGCACTGAATTCAGACATCCAGAATGTGCGTGAGTAAACATATATGTCTGGTATCAGGGGGTAGCCGTGTTAGTCTGTATCTACAAAAACAACAAGGAGTCCAGTGGCACCTTAAAGACTAACAGGGGCTTATGCCCAAATAAATCTGTTAGTCTTTAAGGTGCCACCGGACTCCTTGTTGCATATATGTCTGCACACTGCCCTCAATTGTATGGATGGTCCTCATACCCTTACATGCCATTATTCTCTAGGAGAACCTCCAGACTCCCTCCTTCTACCTTTAAAATATTCTGGAAGAAATACAGCAGAGCTGGTAACTATTTTCCTGGGCACCTTCAGTTTAATATTGTGCATGTGTAACGCACACTGAGTGGAGGGTTACATATCCCCCTCTTTGGCTGGCTCACAGGGAATGAGAGTCTGTTACAGCTCCCACCCAGAGAACCATCTTCTCTAGCTTGAGCTGTCGAGGTTCGTGCTGTTATTAGAGAGGGAGCATGGTCCAGTAGTTAGGGCACAAGCCTAGGACTTGGGAGATCGGGTTCATTTCCCTGTAGTGCCATACACTTCCCATGTGACTTTGGGGCAATTGCTTAACCTCTCTGTGCCTCCGTTCCCCATCTGTAAAACGGGGATAACAGCACTGCCCTGCCTCACCGGGGTGTCGTGAGGCTAAATCCATTAAAGAGGAAAAGTGCTTTGAGATCAGTTGTGTTCTATAGGAGCTGTACTCTCTTGTGCTTTCTAGGATACTCCTGGGGGAATTCTGCACCAAAAAATAAAAATTATGTGCACAATATTTTAAAGTTCTGCATGTTTTATTGTCAAAACAATATAATCATTCCAGTTTCAATTATTTGTGGTCATTTATTTCAAAATACCCTGTCGGCAAGTATGTCTAACACTACAGATAAAAAAAAGATTCAGGAAATGTTTTTTGACAAATAGATTCCTTACTAGGCATATTAATACAGAACTCTGAGTAATAATTCATTTAAACTACAATACAGAACTGTATTTCCCACACCCCTCAGAAACAGTGCAAAGGCTTGGACGAGTCAGGGGTAACGGAGGAGCTGGGTATTGGTGTGAAGAGTATGGAACAAGTTTTTGGGGGGCATGGGGAGGGATTGTTAGGGAGCTTCCCCCATGCAGACTCTGGCTGACCTCTAGCCTTTCCCATTCAGTCAGGCACATCTGCCCTGTGCCAATGTATTCCTGCACCCCCATGTGTCCCTTCACCCCCCACCCAGACACCCACTCCTCATCTCCATGTGGCCCTGCACCCCTTCCTCCTGTCCCCATGTGACTGTGTCCCCACCCAGCCACTCCCCTATCTTTATGTAGCTCTGCACCTCCTCCCCCATCACCATGTGGCCCTGCACCCCTTCCTCCTGTCCCCATGTGACTGTGTCCCCACCCAGCCACTCCCCTATCTTTATGTAGCTCTGCACCTCCTCCCCCATCACCATGTGGCCCTGCACCCCTTCCTCCTGTCCCCATGTGACTGTGTCCCCACCCAGCCACTCCCCTATCTTTATGTAGCTCTGCACCTCCTCCCCCATCACCATGTGGCCCT